GCCATGCTCCTTTTTGGTTTCTCTTGCTGAGTACTTGGGGCAGCACCCAGAAGCAGCAGAATGTGGGTTTCAATTCCAGGTTTGCCACCAAAGCACTCCCCTCTCACTGGGTGAGTTTGGTTGCTCACTCCCCTATCTGGGCCTCAGTTTAGTCATGTGTAGAATGAGGATGCTGTCTAGAGTGACCAACTATCCTGGTTTGCTTGGGGCTGAGGGGTTTCTGGGACTTTGGGTGCTTGTCTTGGGCGAATGTGGGCGAGTTGGTCACCCAGCGCTATCATTCATTTCAGAGGGCATCTGTGAAGATGAAAAGAAATTGCTTAGTGTTTAACAATTATATGAGAGTTATTTCTGGAACTGAACTGAAATGGAAAGTACCTGTGGGTGGAAATTTTAGTGGATGGACTTATAAAAATCAGGTCTGCCTAAGGAGGAAGGAAGAAACCCCTATCAGGACCCTCATTCTGACCTGTGATGGGCTCCACAACATTCCCTCTCTGGGGGTCGGTGTCCTGTCTGTGGATGGCCAGGAAGTGCTAGAAGGTTCCCCAGGGCACTTTTAGCACTGCTGCCATTCTGCGCTATTTAGTGTGAGGTCCAAACATAGGAAGTGTGTTCACAGAGTTTCTCTAAGACAAGTCACCCTCTCCCAAGCCTCTGTGCTCAGCTCTCTTCCTCAGTTTCCCCCACTGAAAAATGGAATAGCAGCCCCTCCTCAAAAGGCTGGAGGGTGAGCAGTCCCCAACCCTCAAAAAGCTTATAGTTCAAACCAGAGATCAAGGAACAGTTCTCTTTGGCTCCCACAGTAGTTTTTAAATGTTCAAACTGCAACCAACATGTCTTTCAATAGGTGAATAATTAAACCGTAGAACATCTGTATCATGCAGTATTATTCAGCACTAAAAAGAAATGAGCTACCAAGCCACGAAAAGACATAGGGGAGCTTTAAATGTATCTTGCTAAGTGAAAGAAGCCAGTCTGAAAAGGCTACATACTGTATGATTCCAACTCTATGACATTCTGGAAAAGGCAGAACTATGAAGACAGTGAAAAGATCAGAGGTTGTCAGGGGTTTGGGGAGGGAAAAGGGCGGGTGGCATGAATAGGTAGAGCTTGAGGGTAGTGAAACTATTCTGCATGATACTACAATGATGGATACATGTCATTATACGCTTGTTAAAATCCATAAAACGTGCAACACAAAGGAACCCTTATGTCAACTGCAGAGTTTAGTTGATAATGATGTTGATAATACCTGATAATAATGGTAATAGGACAATAACGGTGTTGACAATAATGTTTGTTCATGGACTATAGCAAATGTTTCCGCTCTGGTGCAGAATGTTGATGGTGGTGGAGGCTGTGTGGGAGGTTGGTGTGGGTGGGTAGTCAAAGTATATGGAAACTACTTTCAGTTTAACTTTGCTGTGGATCAAAACTGCTCTAAAAAACTGTCTATTAATTTTAAAAAAGAAAAGACATGTTCAAATAGCTAACATATAAACATAGGGAGCTACAAATCACATTTCTAGCTTCCCTTGAAAAATTAGTTCTGCTGGTTCTAGCTCCAATCAGGGAGAGATGCACATGGCTGGACCTCACCTGGGGACGGTCCTCACCTGGCTGTCTTATTGTTTTCCATATATGACCTGCCTGGCCCTTGGAAGCATTAGGGTTTGAGACTCAGTCTAGATCAATGAGTCTTAAGTGGGGGTAAGTGTGTCCCCCCGCAGGGACACCAGCAATGTCTGGGGACATTTTTTTTTTCACTTTTTTCTTTTTTTTATGGCCCCACCACATGGCTTGTGGGACCTTAGTTCCCCGACCAGGGATTGAACCCAGGCCCTCAGCAGTGAGAGCGCGGAGTCCCAACAACGGGACCGCCAGGAAATTCCCTGGGGACATTTTTGTTTTTCACAGCTGGGGTATGCTCATGGCATCTAGTGGGTTGAGGCCAGGGATGCTGCAAAACATCCTGAAATTCACAGGACGGCCCCTGCCACAGAGAATGATCTGTCTCTGTCATTAGTGTTGAGGTTGGGAAACACTGGTGCAGAGCTGGTTCTCATCTGGGGAACTTTAAAAAATACTGATGATGGTACCACCCCCTGCGATTCTGATTCTAATGATAAAGGGGTGCTACCTGGACAACAAGAGTCTTAAAAGCTCCCCAGGTGACTCTAATGTGTAGCCATACTTGAGAACCACTGGTCTGGAAGGCTCTTTGCATGGGTCAGGGCTTAAGGTAGGCAGGATTGTCATTTAATCATTCATTCACTCATTCCTTCAATCATGCCGCCAGCATCCACGACTTCTTTCTTTCTTCTTGCATAGAGCTAAGGGTCCTAGAGGTGAGCCAGACCTGGCCCTCCCTGCCCTATTAAGGAGCTCCAGCCTCTTTTAGCCCATCATTTCTCAAATATTAGTATGCTTACAGGGATCTTGTTCAAATGCAGAGTCTGTTTTAGCAGGTCTTGGTGGGGAGCCTGGCATTCTGCATTTCTTAACCAGGGGCCACAGATGCTGTTCACCTGAGGACCACACTTTGTGCTTCATCCTCATTCAGGATTCTCACAAAAGCCTGACCCAGAAAATGCCTGCATCCTGGAAAACACATTACCCCATGCCTTACAAATAATTCTACTACCTCTCACAAGTGCCTTAGATCTGACTACTGACAAAGTTCTCAATAGATCTTCACATTAGCCAGGAAAGGGAGTCCAGGATTATTTTACCAATGAGCCCATTTCACAGATGAGCAAACTGAAGCTCATGTAAGCAAAGCAACCAGCCTGGTGTTTACTCACTGTGAGAAGCAGAACTGACTCCCAATTTGAAGATTATTCCTTAAAGCCAGCTTGGCTCTCAGGTTCACAAAATTATTAATTTCTGTACAAGGGGTCCACACATATTCTGTAACTGGTCCTGCAATCAGCACACGGATTCTGAGAAGAAACTTTTAGAGAGGCTTAGCAGGAATACCAAACTGGGGGACTAACAGCTAAGTCCAATGCCTCCCTTTTCTAAGGGTAGGCAAGTACCCCAGAGCAATCGCAGTGATTCTTGGGATCAAGCAGACCGAGGTTTGAATTCCAAGGCTGTCATCTACCAGCCCTGGGACCACAGGCTCATTGTGTATGTAAATTAGCTTAGCCTCTATTTCCTATTTCCCCAGTTATGAAAGGAGGGAGTTGAATGTTGATCGGACCAGGGGGTTCTCAACCTTGACAGCATATAGCATCCTTGGGGGAGGGGAGCGTGAAACACGAGCATGCCAGGGCCCTATCCCAGATATTCTATTGGTCTGGAGTGGAGATGAGATGGGGGTTTAAGAACCCCCAGGAGCCTCTAATGTGCTGCTGGGGTTCAGAACGACTGAACCCTTTCAGCCTTCAGGAACCTTCAGGCTGCAGTCCTTCAAGTTCAGGTGATTTACTCTGTGACTCCAGCAGAAATATCCCAACCCCTCTGCATGCTCCCAGCCAGCCCAGAGACCTCTTTCCTTCCGAGACTTGTGTCCTACATCCCTACTGGGCTGCTGCCCTTCACAATTTTCGATTTCCCAATGTGTGCTAGGTTCCGTACTTGCCCAGGGGACTGGCCTGAGCCACCAGGAATTCATCTGCAGACAGGAAATACAGCCCCATGTTCAGGCTAAGATAATACAAAGCTTATTTTGCTTTGCAAAGTAACTGCTTTTCAGAAGAGCCTTTAGAGAAATAGACTCTGGCATGTGGACGAGCTAAAATAAAATGGAACAAAAACACTTGCCAGGCAGCGTATGATCTTATTTGCATAAGACTGTGCATTTACATCCGTAACTACAGGGGTATAAATGCAGAGAAGTGAGGTCTGGAATGGTGGCCACCATGTCAACTGTAACTATCCCCTTTTTCCTTTGGGCTTTTCAGTTTTTCTTTCTTTCTTTTTTTTTTTTTAAATATACACAAGCACCTATTTTTATCATCTTTAAAAAAGCTACTTCCAGAGAATATAGTGATAATTTACATCTAAGTGGGAGAAAAGATCACAAAGTTTCGGGTGATTGGTCTTTTCTCTAAAGCTAAATTCTACTGTCCATTTAGTTTGCTGGTGTGCTAAAATTATTAAAATACTAGGAGATGAACAAGAAACACTCCCAGAACCTTGTATAAAAATAGAATGCATTCTAAGGAAGCCATTTACCATCATTTAAAAAAATGGTTCAAAAAAAAAAAAAAAACAATCCAAGAAGCTGGGTTTTCCCCCCAGCGATTCTCCATGAGGGTCTGGAGCTGGTGGGAGGAGGCTGACCCCAAATCATCCTGCCCTAGGGCCAGTACTGCTCAGCAAGTGAAAAGGATCCGGGCCAGACCTGGAAGAATTCCCTCTGGGCTCCGAGATCCAGCAGAGCCTTGGCCCAGGGAAAGGGAGAGGAGGTTGCCCCAGGGCCACAGCGGGGAAGGGGCACCAGTGTCACTTTCTCTGAACCTGATCACAGCTCCCAGCACTGCCGGCCCTTATATAGACACTCAGCTGCCGTTCTGGCTCCCCGCTCCAAGGGCAAGGAGGGAGGTCACGGCTGCGGGCAGCTAGGACGTCTGGCCAGGCCGGCAGAACCGACCCGCCTGCGCCCTCACCACGACCTACGCCCCTCGCCCAAGTTCCTGCGACCGTACCCTGCTCGGACCCCTGACCTTCTCTCCCTGCATCCTCCCCAGCACTTGTTCCCTCTCCTCTGAGCAATCACGTTCCTTTCCTTTCCTCCAGCCTGCATCTGCTTCCCCTCCCCAAGCGCCACAATCTCAGGAGCTTCTCTCCTTGCCCTCTGTCTTGTCTCTCCCCTCTGTCCGGCCCCGTATGGGCGAACCCCATGATCCCAGCACCTGCCTGTTTCCCCAAACCGGTCCCTGGGACTGTTCCCCCACGATTCAGGCCTTTCCCCTTCTCCAGACCCCTGGGTTAACCGCCGTCCCTCGCCCCGGAATGCCAGTCCTCTCCAGCCTCCGGCCCTGGCTCACCTGGCTCATACTTGAGGTAGAGAATGGAGACGATGAAGTAGCTAAGATCGAAGACAGGAAAGAGGGGCACCCGCGAGAAGCTGAGCGCAAGCTCGCCCAGGCTCAGCGCCGAGAGCAGCTCCATGGCGCCCGCCGGGTCCCACCCCAGCCCCCGGCCCGGTGAGTCCAGTCGCCTGCAACTGCGCCCCCCCCCACTGGACCCGCCCCCGCCCGCCAGGCGCCGCCCCCAACCCTGCCTCCGCGGGAGAGGAGGGGCGACCGCTGGCTGGTCTTGGGGCGGGTGGTGGGACCCTCCAGTCCCATGGAGACCGGTCGGTCCAATGTCCCACACTGTCCCTCGGGCCATCACGACCCCATTCAGACCAGCCAGGCGGGGTGCGGGGTCCCCGTGGAGTGTGAGTTGGACAGGGGATCTGTCCTTGGAGGGGGGCGGGATCCGTTCCTCACGGAGCCCACCCAGGCGGGACGGACCAATCAGGACCGCGTTCCTGTGGGGCTGATCAGGACCCAAGTCCTCTGTGGAGCCCTTGGATCCGGACCTCCATCCCCCGTGGGACCAGATCAGTTGTGAACCACATACTTCCGTGCCCCATAGGGTCCATTCGGTCAGGACCCCCGTCCTCTATCGAGCTGTCATGATCCCAGCCCTCTGTAAATCGTGACTTCTGTACCGCGCAAGGAATCCCGTCCTCCTAGGGAACCGCTCAGTTGGGACCCCCGCCCCGGGTAGTGCCTGCCTAGTGGGGATCCCGCCTTCCGTGGGGCCCAGGAGGAGGCCCTTTTGGAATGCAACAGTCGGGGCGTCCATGCCCGGTAGAGCCCACTGCATCAGGACTCATTCCCCTATGCATTTCAATGATCGGGGGCACCGTTTCTCCAAAAGCCGCATGGGAGAGCCCAGCCCAGCAGAAGGCTAGTGCTCTGGCTGGCTGGTCTCTCACGCATGCGCGAAAGGCTTCCAATCCGTTACCCAACCCTGCCCCCAGATGGCTCCGCCCCTGGATGACGTCATGATGCCGCCCCGCCCTTTCTTGGTTACCCTCCCCAGGCCTTCCTAGCAAGGAGCGGCGCTCGCTCTTTCTTTAGGGGGCTTGGCCTGCAGAAGGCGGGACCCTGCCTGCCTTGGTCTTTGATTGGTCCAGCCCTCTCTAGAGCTGCTTCAAGATTGGTCGGCTCGTGTTCCTCTACCCTCCCTTCTCGAGGCTTCCGCTTCCTGTTCGGACGGACGCTCCGGCAGTAACAATGATCGGGGACATCCTGCTGTTTGGGTAATTAGGGGGACCAGAGGATGGGACGTGAGGGCCCGACAGGGTGGGGGCGGTCCAGGTAACCGCATTCTCCCTCTGCAGGACGCTGTTGATGAACGCCGGGGCGGTGCTCAACTTTAAGCTGTGAGTAGGCCGCGTTGGACCGTGGCTCCATCCGGGGGACCCGTAGCCCCGCCTTCGCGAGCGTGAGCACGGCCTACGCCGCCGGCCCCGCCCTCAGGTCCCAGCCCCAAGTTCCGCCTCCAACCGGGTCCATCCTTTTGTGACTCTCCGCGCCGCCGAGATTTGAACCCCGGACTCTCAGTTCCCCCGGGATCCCTCTGCTCGCACCCATGAGAGCCTCAGACCCATCCCCCAAGAATCTCTTAACCCTAATCTGTACCCGCAGCCCCGCACCTGGCTGCCTCGAACCACTCTCTCCACCCCGTCGGTGGCTGCAGGCATGGCTGTGATTGGCCGGGCCGGGGGTGGCCCAGGGAACATCACTGAACCGTGCAAAAGAGGTCACACAGCAAACCAACGGTAGGGCTAGTGCTCCCCTCAGAGCTGGGGATCAGGGCCCGGGGACTAAGTGGTCTGTTTGTCCTATTGAAAGTGGTCGCTGTCTGCTTCTGTTTGTAGGAAAAAGAAGGACACGCAAGGCTTTGGGGAGGAGTCGAGGGAGCCCAGCACAGGTAAGGCCTCCTTTCTGTACTCTGGAATTGGTACATTTCAGAGAGGACAATTCTTTTTCACCAGTTTTCTTTTAGGGGTGTGTGTGTGTGTGTGTGTGTGTGTGCCTGAGTTTGTGCTGTTCCTTCTACCCACCTCTGTCATCCACTGCTTTCTCCTACCAGACCTCCCTGCGTAGGTCAGCACTCATATCACTTCTTACAGTTATGATTTTCTTTTATGTATGCTGTCATCTGGCTAATATCTAGCTCTCACACTTGACCTTAAGCTCCAGAGAAGAGGCTCCAGCTTGTTTTGGCTCATCTGTGTCCTTGCAGTTCCAGCATTCCAGCATGAATGAATGAATGAGCGAATGAATGAACAGCCTATTGTTTCCAGAATGCTGTAGACCTGTTTGTTTAATTTTCAATTAGATTAGCTTTCAAATAAATCAGGAGATGTCATATAAAGATTCAGATGTATGATTTTTCAAGAAAAATTGGAACATTCTACAACTTGGGGTTCAAGCGACCTTTTGACACCTGTTGAATAGGAGTTGAGAAGCAGGACCCCACTGAAACCGGGCCTGTGGCCTCTACCTCATCCCAGCCCCCGCCCCCTTTTCTTTGTATCATTTCACATGACTGGCCCCTGGAGGCCCTAGAATATATACTTCCTGCTAAATTGACACATGTGACTATTTGGAGTCTGATGGGACCTGTACGTGACTATTGTATCCATTCATTCATTCATTCACCAAACATTTATTGAACACCTACTATGTAACAGCCACTGTGCTAGATGCTGGGGACATAGCAGGGAATAAGACAGAAGTAATTCCTGCCTTTGGGTTGTACTCCTATGGGGTGGGACAAACAGTCCCTAAACAAGGAACACACAGTGAAGAAGAAGATGTTGGGAGGATAGCAATGGGGTTGCTGCTCTGGCTGGGTTGTGTGGAGGGAAGGCCCTCTGAGGAGGTGGCATTGCGGCCAAGGTGGTGGGTGCTATGATGGAGCATTGCATGAGGACTATAGGAACCCTAAGGGGCAGCGAATCTGAAGGCAGTCTGACAGCTCCCCTTTATTGGGGGCCTGCCAGGTGGTGGCTGCCTTGTTAGGTACTTCCTATGGGTGTTTCACTCCACCTCCATTCCTAAAAGGTAAGGAGCATTTTCCCATTTTACAGATGAGGAAACTCAGGCTCAGAGATGTGACTCAACTTGTTTGTGGCCACACAGCAAATCAGCGACAGCACTGGGATTTGAGCCTGGGTTTTTCTGACCTCAGAGGTTGTCCTCTCAATCACTAGACTGTCCGTCTGTTCATTCATGCATTCATTCAGCAGCTGTATATGTTGCTTACCCACTACGTGGAGGGCACTATTCCAGCCCCTGGGGCTGTGATCTATAGATCTGAGTTGGAGCTATGGTAGGTGGGAAATTGGCCACGTGGGCTCGAAAGTGGCGGAAGCATTGGTGACAAGGATAGTCAGAACGGTGGCTTCCCTCTGATCGGGGGCTCCCTGCTAGGCTCCTTCAAACTAGGACTCTGTGTTGGCAGTTGCCCCTGTAGATCATGCTCCTCTCCCTCCATCCTCTGCCTGGCTGACCCCTAATATCACAGTGGCTTCATTTATTGAGAGTGTCCTATATATCAGGCACTGTGCTGCAGCCTTCCCAGTCCCCCATCATGCCCATTTACACAGGAGGAAACTGGGGCATATGTAGGCCCAGGTCACCTGTGTGGAAGGTCAGTAAACTCCAGCCCACGTTTTTTTTGGCTGCGTTGGGTCTTCGTTGCTGTGTGCTGGCTCTCTCTAGTTACGGGAAGCCGGGACTACTCTTTGTTGCAGTGTGTGGGCTTCTCACTGCGGTGGCTTCTCTTGTTGCGGAGCATGGGCTCTAGGCGTGTGGGCTCTAGAGCACAGCCTCACTAGTCGTGGCACATGGGCTTAGTTGCTCCACGGCATGTGGGATCTTCCTGGACCAGGGATCAAACCCGTGTCCCCTGCATTGGCAGGCAGATTCTTAATCACTGCACCACCAGGGAAGTCCCCAGCTCACGTTTAAGGTTGGAGTTCACACACTTTCCCAGTGAGTCTTCTTCTGACCCCACCTGCCTCCCAATGCATGCCAGGTTGGGTTCCCCCATTACAGCTCCCATGGCACTTGTCCTAGTGAATAATCAGGTGTGTGGTTACTTGCTTTTATATTAGTATTTGTCCTCCCTGTGAGCTCCTTAAGGCAGGGACACGTGTCTCATTCCTTCCTGTATCCCCTGCACTCAGCTACTCTGTGGGATGAGTAGCCTTTAGTCAGTGTTTGTTCATGGTAAGAGAGGCCATTTTTGTGATCCTGGGCTCAGAGAAGGACCTTGCCAAGCAGTGCCTTGCAGACATTCTGGGAACGGATCTGTCTCTGACATTTGCAGTCTGTGCTGGACCAACACTAATATAGGCTATGCTACATGTTGCTAACCCCGTGGCTTGGACAACACTGGACTTGTCTAAACCATGTAGAGCAACATCTTGTGCTCTTCATGCGCTTGGATGGTGCAGCAGTGCCAGGTGGCGGTCATGTTGGGTTGCTGTGGAAGTTTCTGAGCTTCCCAGTGTTCCAGCTCTGGTCTGTGGATGACACTTTGGGTAACACCCTTGTAGATCATGTAATCTGGATCCATTCATTTCATTCTGGAGGCCTCAAGAGGCTGGGCAATTAACTCAAAACCCCAGAGGAAGGTCCTGGAACCCGAGTCTCTAGAGTCTTTTTTGTTTTTAATTAATTAATTAATTGCTGCGTTGGGTCTTCGTTACTGCACACGGGCTTTCTCTAGTTGCGGCGGGGGTGGGTACTCTTCGTTGCAGTGTGTGGGCTTCTCATTGTGGTGGCTTCTCCTGTTGCAGAACACGGGCTGTAGGTGCATGGGCCCAGTAGTTGTGGTTCGCGGGCTCTAGAGTGCAGGCTCCGTATTTGTGGCACACGGGCTCAGTTGCTCCACGGCATGTGGGATCTTCCCCGACCAGGGCACGAACCCGTGTCTCCTGCATCGGCAGGCAGATTCTTAACCACTGTGCCACCAGGGAAGTCCCTCTGGAGTCTTAATGTACCAAATTCCCTCTTCTTGGAGTGGTTTCTGTTCCTTGGCATCAGAGGGGACTAGAGTTAGTCGTCACCAAAGCAGAACTCCCATTTTGCTTGCCTGAATTAGTATGCTTTTTCAGTTGTAAACTCTGAAAACCAGCTCAAAGTGGTTAAAGCAAATTGAAACATCGAAGCGTAGAATGGGCCTCGGGCACACGTGGATTCAGGGTTTAAACTGGCTCTCCAGCTTGTGACCCTCCCCAGCTCTCTTTTCCTCCTGGATTGGTTTTACTATCAGGCTGGCTTGTGTTGACAAAGATGACCCTAGAGCAGGGCTTGGCACATTTTTCTGTAGAAGGCCAGATCATAAATAGTTTAGGCTTTGTGGGCCATAGAGTCTCTGGTGCAACAGTTCACCTCTGTAAGTTGAAAGTAGTCATGGATAATATGTAAATGAGTGGGCATAGCTGTATTTTAATAAAACTTTATGGCTGTTGAAATTTGAGTTTTTGTGGCTCACAAAATAACTTTGTTGGTTTTTTTTTTAACCATTAAAAAGTATAAAAAACATTCTTCATTCATGGGCTATACAGAAATAGGTGGCAGAGGCCAGCTTTGGCCTACAGGCCATGGTTTGCACCCTGCCTTAGAGGACTGGGCTTACATCTTTGCAGTCCAGCTAGCCTGGCAGACAGCAAGTGCCTCTTTCCTGGTAGTTCGGGCAAAAGTCCCAGGGCTGGCTCTCATCGGACAGACTGGGGTCACGTGCCCTTCCCTGAGCCAATCAGAGGCTGAGTGCTTGGTCCTCTCAGAGGGTTGGTCAGTGGCAGCTATAGCCTGAGTGCTCAGGGCTGGGGAACAGAGGCGGCCCAAATGAAAAGCCGTGCTGCCATTGGAACATGGGGGCAGTGAGTGTGGGGTGGGCAGAAGCACACGGCAGCCGTGACAACAGAAATGTTAGCACTGCTTGTGAAAATGCTTTCTGACCTTCCAGGTGACAACATCCGGGAGTTCTTGCTGAGCCTCAGATATTTTCGAATCTTCATCGCCCTATGGAATGTCTTCATGATGTTCTGCATGATCGTGTAAGTCCAGCCCGCCTCTCTCCTTCATTGTCATTATCCTCAGGGTCGCTCTCCAGAATGAACCTCTGATGGTCGTTTTCTGTCCTCCCAGTCTGCACTTTTGTGTCAGGCTTTCTGCTTTCAAAGTAAGAACTCTCCACACTAGAGAGGAAACTGGGGTCTGTAGGAATTAAACTATGTCACTGCAGTCCAGGCTGGAGCTTTGATTGGAACATGGCGTTCTTCAAGTCCTGGCTGTGCCTGGTGCCTCAGCAGAGGCTGCCAAGAGATGCCTTCCGCTGAGCCCATGGCTCCATCACCTCTCGCCAGCTCTGTTGATTGTGCTTAGCCTATACTTGGCGTTGGCCAAAGTGGAAAATACGTCTTGAAAGGCCAGCGTGCTGCCGGGTCTTGCTCCCAGCCTGCTGGAAGCCAGCAGGAGTGCATTCAGGCTTTATTTCTGCTTTTTATGCCTATTTTATTTTCTCATTAGACTAAAAAAATCCAATTGGATTGGTTTTCCTTTCAGTGTCAAGACCATGCTGTTAGTGAATTATGAGACTCATAGTAAACAGACTCAGGGGGAAAAAACAAGGAGAATCTGGGGTTCTGGGCCAGGCTGTGCCCATCTCCATGTGCTTCCCCTAAAGAGGAAGAGAGTGAAAAGTTAGCTGTCTTGAGTCATTGAGATGCTGAATTTGGGGTTGCTGTGTGGTCCTTGTGCCAGCCCAGTGGCTGTTTGAGGGGATGATTCCAGGACTTAGGAGATCGGGGGAGGAGGGGTTTCTTTGCTGCTGGAGAGTATTTTAGAGCCCAGAATGAGGGCTGTAATGTATGCCCAGAGAGACCCTTTTTGGGAGCTCAGATGAGGCCTGCCTAGGTACAGAGAGGGCTCATGAAGAGATCAAGGAATTTGCAGAAGAGTGTACGAAGTATAACTAGCTCTCACAGGAAGTAGAAGTGTTGGGGTGCTCCTCCAGCCTTTGTCTCTCTAGATTCCCACCTATCCATTCATTCATTTATTTATTCAAAACTGTCTTTTGAGGGCTGTGCTCTGGGATTACAGTTGCGACCAAAACAGCCATAGTCCCTGCCTTCAGCGAATGCACAGAATAACAGGGATGTAAAATAAGCAAATAGGGGGAAAAATCAGTTGTGAGATGGAGAATTGGAAGGGGGCTCCCAGTTTAGGAGGGTCAGGGAGAGGTCCTCTGAGAAGATGCCATTCAAATCAAGACCTACAGAACGAGAGGAAAGCCTGCCATTTGCAGAGCTGGAGAGAGGCACAGTAGCACCAGAAGCAGCATTGGCAAAGGTCCTGGGGCAGAGAAGAACTCGGTGTGGTATCATCATTTTGTTCTTTTCTGTCCGTTGGCTTCATCGTCCTCTCTTACCTGACTAGCTACTTTTACTGCTCTACCTGCTGGCCTGTGACCAGGATGGTAGCCTCAGGCTTTGTGACCTCCCAGCTCAGCCCAAGGCTAGCTTAGCCAGCAGCCCAGTGTCCTGATTTTGATTTCTGGGAGTATCTAGGTGTCACCCAGATCTACTTGGATTGGGGGTTCCTGCTTCCAGCTACTTAGGTCAGGGGTCAGCAAACCACAGCCCATGGGCATGGGCCTGTGCCTATTTTCATGAATGAAGTTTTCATGAATGGAGCCCATGTCTGTCACTGCTTTTGCACTACAATGGCAAGGTTGGACCATTTTGACAGGCTTACAAAGCCTGAACTACTTACTGTGTGGCTTTTTACAGATCCCTGACCTAGGCCAGCTCTTTCAGCACATGCCGTGAGTGAGGGAAGCTTTTCTCCAGAAAGGGCTCTGTCAGGGAGGCAGTGACTGGCTTTTTCAGGATATCAAAAACTGGAAATCACCTAAGTCTCCAAGAATAGGAGAAGAGTCAGGTAACTCGAAGGACACCCATACGACCAACTGACAAAACACCATCGTTGATAATGTGCCTGAAGGTTCTGTCTACACAGGAGAATGGTTTGAAAGTAAAGAAGGTTGGGTGTCACCTGTATGCACACTCTGGTGTCAGTTGTGACTTGCACGCAGTAAACATTGAATAAATGCTGAGTGGGTGTGTGAGGGAAATAACTTCCAGTGAGAGAGTTGGAAGGATCTACTCCAGACTGTCCACGGAGGTGACTGTGCTGTGACTGCGGAGGAGGTTAGTGGGCTCAAGGGATAGTTTGCTATTCCATGTACTCATTTCTGTATTGTTGGAGCTGAGCTCAATTGGAAATTTTAAAAAGTCATAAAAAACTTGAAATACAGGGAGAAAGGTGTCTGAACATTTAGAGACCAAGGGCACTGATACCTGCGACTTTGAAACATGAAAAATAAAGTAGATGGATCAATGGATAGATACACAGTAAAGCAAAGCACTAATTGCAGGTGGTGTGTATGTAGGTGTTTGCTGAACTGTTATAACTCTTCTATATATGTTGAAATCTTCATTAAAAAAGTATGGGCGGGGAGAAGATAGGGAGAAAATGAGAGTGTCAAACCATGGAAAAGGGTTTTAATAAGTAAAAAGTGGAAGTCAGTCTTCACAATTCAGTATTTTGTAGTATTTTCATATGGTTGTGCAACCATCACTACTCTCTAATTCTAGAATATTTTCATCCCCCCCAAAGGGAAACCCAGTACCCATTAAGCATTTCCTTCCCATTCCTCCTTCACGCAGCCTTGGGCAACCATTGATCTCCTTTCTGTCTCTATGGATTTGCCTGTTCTGGGTATTTCATGTTGATGGAATCATACAGTATATGGCTTTTTGTGTCTGGCCTCCTGCATTCAGCATAATGTCTTCTGGACTCTTCCATGTTGTAGTGTTTATCAGTATTTCATTCCTTTCTGTGGCTGAATAATAGTCCATTCTATGGATATGCCACAGTTTGTTTATCTGCTCATCAGTTGATGGATATTTGCAGTGTTTCCATTTTGAATAATGCTGATATAACATCTGTGTACAAGTTTTTGTGCAGACTTAAGTTTTCAGTTCTCTGGTATATAACCAGGAGTGGAATTGCTGGGTCATATGGTAACTATATTTATCCTTTCGTGGAACTGCCAGACTATTTTCCAAAGTAGCTGCAGTAATTTTCATTCCCATCAGCAGGGTATGAGGGGTCCAGTTTCCCCACATCCTTGCCAATACTTGCTATTGTCAGTTTTTTTGATCATAGCCCTCCTAGTGAATGTGAAGGTTGATTTGCATTTCCCCAATGGTTAATGACATTGAGCTTTCATGTGTTCATTGGCCATTTGTATATCTTCTTTGGTGAAATGTCTTCAGATCCTTTGCCCATTTTTTAGTTCTTTTTATGTTTTGGATACCAGTCCCTTATCGGATATATGATTTGCAAGTATTTCCTCCCATTCGGTGGATTGTCTTTTCAGTTTTGTTTTTTTTTTGTTTTTTTTGTTTTTTTTCTGGTACACGGGCTTCTCACTGCTGTGGCCTCTCCCGTCGCGGAGCACAGGCTCCGGACGCGCAGGCTCAGCAGCCATGGCTCACGGGCCCAGCCGCTCCGCGACATGCGGGATCCTCCCAGACCAGGGCACAAACCCGCGTCCCCTGCATCGGCAGGCAGACCCTCAACCACTGCACCACCAGGGAAGCCCATCTTTTCAGTTTTTTGATGGTGTCATTTGAAGTGCAAAATCCTACAATTTTGATTAAGTACAATGTATCTATTTCTTCTGTTGCTTGTTCTTTTTATGTTATAGCTAAGAAGTCATTGCCTAACCCAAGATTATAAGGATTTACACCTAAGTTTTCTTCTAAAAGTTTTATAGTTTTAATAGTAGGTCTGTGATCCACTTTGAGTTAATTTTCGTATATGGTGTGAGGCAGGGATCCAACTTCATTCTTTTGCATGTGGTGACCCAGTTGTTCCTGCCCCATCTGTTGTTATTTTTTCAAATAACCTTTTTATTTTGGAAAGAGTTTAGATGTATAGAAATGTTGCAAAGGTAACACAGAGAGTTCCCATATACAATTGAGCCTTGAACAACACGGGGGTTAGGGGTGCCGACCCACCTCACAGTCGAAAACCTGAGTATAACTTTACAGTTGGCCATCCGTATCTGCAGTCCTGCTTCCATAGAGTCAACCAACCTTGGATTGTGTAGTACCGCAGTATTTACTATTGAAAAAAATCCACGTATAAGCGGGCTGGCGCTGTTCAAACCTGTGTTGTTCAAGGGCCAACTGTGTACCTTTTAACAATTCTGTGGTTTTCCCCTGTAGGCCTGTATCATAACCTATTCCCAAACTTCATGAACATTTACACAGTTTCTAGGCCTTTTCTATTCCAGATTTTCTTCAGTTAACAGAGTTATCTCTAATAATCGTTTGTTTACTCAAAGGTCTTTTTATTTATGAAAGTCACCACTGATTTGCAGTGATAGAGAATGGGCTAAAATAAAGTGTTACAGATTCATACCAAGTAGATACTTTTTAAAAGAGTCACTTTTTTTTTAAGTGTACAGTTTGGCAGCGGTAAGTGTGTTCACATTGTTGTGTAACAGAGTTACTTACAAAATCAGAAAATGATGTAAAATGATCTGAGTGATAGTAACCAGAAAATATTTCCTGAAAGTGTTTTCAAGGCAACCGCTTCCCATCCTCATGGATGTTTCTGCCCTCTGACTTTTCCAGGCTCTTTGGCTCCTGAGCTCCAGGTACAGAACCGGAAACACACCTTCTCAGATTGTCTCTTCCTCCATTCCTGACGACTTCAAGAATGTTTCTGACCAGAAAACCAGTGACCTTCCCAGAAAGTCCAAGCTTGTGGTGGGTGGAAAAAATGTTCACCAAGATGAACACAGTTTCCCAGCCACGTCACTGTTTTCTTTTCAAAGATATTTTCACTTTGATCTCTGCCTTGAAATGCTGTCTACTTAAAAGAGTTTGAAGAGTGTTTATGTGAGGGGCTGTGGTATCTAGATTGTTTAATCAGATCAGAATCCCTCTTCTACCAAACTTTCACCCATCTGGGTATTTATTGGTTTATTTTTAATAACCATCCTTTTTCGGTTCAAATTATACAGATTTTTAAAAATCTTTTGTATCCAGGGATCTGAAGCAGAAAGGTTGGCTTTTAAGTTTGATGCAGCCTCTTATTGGACTGCATTTGTGAGGAATGAACAAGTTCATTGTTGCTGGGTCTGTGTCCAAATTCCTTCCCCATCCCAATGGGCTCTGCTGGGCCACTCCATGCTGCTGAAGTTGTCCCCAGGACTTGAAGGGTGAAGTAACTTATGGGTTCCTGTGGAAGAGAGGTGCAGAGCAGTTGGCAGGGCGGATGGGGGTTTTATGAGAAACTTTGCCTTGCCTTGAAGCCCTCTATTAAAGTAACTTTTGGGGCCATTAATTGTATAGTTTTTAGAATGAGAGTGATTTATGTGGTGATATTGGGACCCAGTTCTGAAAGCTTGGGTTTTGGGGTCTGCTTTTCAAGTGGATGATTTCAAGTTTGAAAAACAAGCCTCATTGGAGGAAATACAGCATTTTGCATAGAAGCTTCTTTGAAAGGGAGTCCTGGTTTAATCGCCAGCATGACACTTGGGTGGTCAGTGCCTGGATCCTACAGCTGTTTGATTTGTTTGTTGTGGTTTTTGAAATCCTAACTTGCAGGTAACCTGGTAGGAGGAAAGAATAAACATGCAGGCTCTTAGAACTAAAGAGCATTGAAAATAAAGCTCATTTCTAAAAAGGACCTTTTGTTTATACATTTTTTAACCAAGAAGTCCTTTGTAAATTTTTTTTATTTTTGATACTTTCATCAGGTTGTTTTTTTTTTTAATTATTGAATATAGTTGATTTAAAATGTTGTGTTAATTTCTGCTGTAGAAGTTGACTGTCAATTTGAGTTGTTTCAAATTACACTTTGGGAAACACCTAGGATTCATTTATTGTGGAGGCTGTCAAAAAGTCAGAAAAGAGGCAATGTTAGATACTCCTCTTCAGTTTTTGTTCAATAAATGTTGGGCAGGAATTGGGCAAATACGATTTTGGGCTGCACCTGGAAGAATCGAACGAGTTAGTGATAATGGTGGGATTTTGCTAGGCCAGGGTCAAGTCCACTTGTCTTACTGCTCAGCTAATTCATTCTACTTCATAGCTTCTGTAATTTATTCCCTTGTCAAATCTGGGCCGAGTATCACCCCGTGGTTTGTAAGTAGCAGGGAACAGGGCTGCTGAATCGAGCTTCTCGCAGGTCGGTGTTCTTGTCAGCAGGAACGGACGTGCCAAGATCTTGGCTGGTCAGTCCTCAAGCCATATGAATGATGTGAGGAAACCTCCCTGCCTTATTCAGACCGGCGCTGAGGTTTCAATGAGGTGAGGCATTTGTGTGTCGTGGGGATGAATCGAGCTCGGAGGAGAGAATGCTGTCATTGAGATTTTGTTTCAATAGTTGTATTTTTCACCAGAGAACTATTTTCTCATTGTTCAGTTCTTATGAGCAGTGGAGCTGTGGGGGATGCACATCAAAGGCTGTTGTACATTTTTAAAGTGGCAACTCATGGGTGTGTATCTTTAGGAGGCTTTTCAAGAACCCACACTGGCACCAAAGGTTACCCAAGTTTGAATTTTGAGTACCTAGGGTCCCACAGCTTGTAAGTGCTCATGTTCTGGGTCAGTTAGATGTGGGTTCAAATCCCATCTCTGCTTCTTGCTCATGGGGCCTTGGCTGGTTATTTCTCCTCTCTAAGCCTCAGTTTCCACATCTTTAAAATGGGCCTGAAAGTCAAACCTAGTGGTGTTATTAAAAGGTTCAGTGAACTTGAAGGTGAGCCAGGTGCTTGACTGGGTGGCGCCCAGTAAGCACTCAGTACCTATGGGTGTCCTCACTGCCCGGATTTTCTCTCTTCTTGCCTACATTCATCCAAGCAGTCCACACACAGACAGTTAAAGGAGCAATCACATCATTTTAAAAAATTGGAAACAATTTCCAGCATGGAAAACCTTTTCCTGTCTTCCCATTCCTTTTCTAGCATTTTTCTTATACATATTGGTATATTCGACATAGTTCAACAGTGGTAAGGCAGTTTGGGTTCTGCTGTTTTCTTTTTTTTTTTTTTTAAGTTAAAATATAGTTGATTTACAATGTTTCAGGTGTACAGCAAAGTGATTCTGTTATACATATATATATATATTCTTTTTCCTATTCTTTTCCATTATAGGTTATTACAAGGTATTGAATGTAGTTCCCTGTGCTATACAGTAGATCCTTGTTGTTTATCTATTTTATGTATAGTAGTGTGTATCTGTTAATCCCAAACTCCTAATTTATTCCTTTCCCCTTTGGTAACCATAATTTTTTTTTCCATGTCTGTGAGTCTCTGCTGTTTTCATTTTGACATCATTTCCTTCATATTTTCTGGGCTGCCAGAGAGGCTTCATGGGTCTCATTTTTAACTATCGTGCAGCATCAATATATCTCATTTTAACCTTGGCCCTCTCATATGTACTTTGAACTTGTACTTTATCCGCTGTTATAAATGCCACTGCGATCACCATTGTTGTGACCTTTGCTGGCTTCCCTCACTGGTACTTCCCAGAGTACCCGGGAAGGCTACATCATCATGTACTACCACTGTAGCTTTAGTGGCTTTTGTTTGTTTTATTTTGTTTTAAAGTTTCTTACTACCAATGCATGTTCATTGTAGAAAAATTATGAAGTCCAGCTTTGCTGTAAGGGAAAAAATAACCTGTAATCACTTTTCCCCAGAGAGCATCACTCTGGGTACACATTCCTCTGGCTCTTTCTCTATGCATGTGCACTGGGTATGGTAGATACCTTTTCTCTATCCAGATGGTATCTTTGTATCTTCTGGCCTGCTTTTCTCACCTGATAATATGAGCACACTCCTGTATTTTTACCATTCTTAATAATTGCAAATAAGCCATTGTAAGGACATACCATAATTAATTTAACTAGTCCCCAGCTGATGGAGACTTGAGTTATCTCTAGTGTTTGTCTATTATAAATAACACAGCAATGAACATATCAGTGTATCATCCCTAATGGCTTTTGGGGGTCACTTTACAAAAAGAGAGCCATACTCAATATCTTGTAATAACCTATAATGGAAAGGAATCTGAAAAATCTATATATAGTATATATTTATGTATTACTGAATCACTTTGTGGTACACTTGAAACTAACACAACATTGTAAATTATATTTCAAAAAAACTGATATAAAAAAAAGTCCACCTTAAAAAAAAGAAAGGATGGTAAAATGACTAAACTTATTAAAGAAACTTGCATTTTAAAAAAAAAAGAGAAATCCACGTTGACAGCTTTAGGCTAAGAACCCCCAGCCCCCAAAAACACATCTTTGACAACTTACTTCTTTGTCTTTATTTACTTAATGTTCATTCGTTCCTATGTATGTATGTTTATGCATACATACATACATACATACGTACATACATCTCAAAGACCTTGGTTCTAAGTCCCTATCATCTCTGACTAGGAGCGATGTCCCGGCCACTTAAGTAGATTAACTTTGCTTAATCTGTGAGTAAGGATGAGGTTTTCAGCTCCACCCAGATAACTGTTTCTTTATGCAAGTAACAGCAGTTAACATCACACCAGCTGGCTTTCCACCTTGGCCTTGGTAGTTAAGGATCTTAACCACCATCTAAGTAATAAATAAATGCCCACTATTGCTCATCCTGGAGAATGTTACATAGAGTTGCTGCCAAGGTGAGAAGCCGCACGTGGAGAACAAAAAGAAAGTAGAAATTTGCAGCACAAGCCCTGGATGCAAACTTTGGGGTTCATATTGGATATACCCCCTTTTGCTTAGTCCACGCTTGCCGTGTTGAGGAGTGAACCCCGTCTCCTTTCTCTAGGTTTCTCGTTGCACTTCAGTTCCAGATGCTCTAGAGCAGAACTCGGAAACTATGGCCTGCCAGCCCACTGGCAGTCTGGCCCACTGCTTGTTTTATCGGTACCCAGCCACACCCCTTTGGGTATGTGCTCTGTACAGTTGCTTTGGCTGCTTTCCTGCTACGGTGGTAGAGTCGTGACAGAGACTGGCCCACATAGCTGAAAGTACTGGCAGTCTGGCCCATTTACAGAACAAATTCACCGACCCCTGAGCGAAGGGATGATGGAGTCTCAAGGTGCCCCTTCCTCCCAAAGCCACTCAGGTGAAATAGTCTGCATGCCTTGTGGTCTGGATTTTAATAAAGACATGTACAAACTTGCTGAAAATGGAGATGGCCATTTTCAAGTGATGTGGTTAACAGAGCAAACCCAATTTTACTTCTTTGGATAGTAGGGGAGAAATCTCTCTGGGCTCCCTGGGATTCCTCTTAAGTAGCAGTGAGAGATGTGATAATGAGATTGGCTCTCCTCTGAAGTGGTTAGATTAGAAAAGTCAATGAGGCATTTCCTTTTCGTGTCAACCATTTTTATTATCTCCTTAACCAAATTTGAGATTATGAAATATTTGACAAACCATCAGGAAAACCTGATGTTTTCCCGCATTGATGAAAGACGAGTGCTGTTTGTGTGTAAAGCAAAAGGCATGCTATTGGGCTTCCCTGGTGGCGCAGTGGTTGAGAGTCCGCCTGCCGATGCAGGGAACACGGGTTCGTGCCCCGGTCCTGGAAGATTCCACACGCCGCGGAGCGGCTAGGCCCGTGAGCCATGGCCGCTGAGCCTGCGCGTCCGGAGCCTGTGCTCCACAACAGGAGAGGCCACAACAGTGAGAGGCCCGCGTACCGCAAAAAAAAAGGCATGCTATTAAAAAAAAAAAAAAAAAGATGTAAATTCTACTTGGGGGTTTGTTTTCACCATTCCCTTGATTTTCATTATGCAGAGGAAGGCACTTTATCCCGTTCAAGGCCCTTTCTGGCACTTGAGAGTTCCTAGAAATGAGTTTGGTAATAACAGGTGTGCCTGGATAAGAAATTGGGCAAAGGGACCTGTAGCAAATTGGAAATTCAAAGTCCACATTTTTCAGTAAGAAAATGGCAAGGGCTCATCATCGTCTGGCTCTGTGGCTTTCTTTTTGGCCAGTTGGGTGGTTTTGGATTAGACCAGGGATTAGCAAGCTGCTGCCCACATCTGGCTCCCCGCCTGTCTTTTTACTGCCCACCACCTGTCTCTTCATGGCCCGGAAGGCAGAATGGTATGTTTTTAAATGGTTGAAAAACAAATCAAGATGAAAATGGAAGGAAATTCACGTTTCTTTGTCCATACAGTTTTATGGGAACTCTGTCACACCCATTTGTTTGTGTATCGTCAGTGGCTGCTTTCAAGCTGCAAGGACAGACTTGAGTCCTTGGGACAGAGACCATCTCACCCACAAAACTGTGAACGTGTTGACTGGCTGACTTTTCGTGGAAAGATTGCCAACCCCTGGACTAGACAATTAAAAAAAAAAAAGACATCTTATGGGTGGATCATATTCATCTGTGTTTAGTTTGCATTACTGTGGCTGTTAGTGGTAAATATGGGCCACAAGGATATATGTGTGTGTGTGTGTGTACACACACACACACACATACATAGAGAGAGACTGTGCTTGGGGAGTTTGTAGAAGTTATTTTAGGGGGAGTAAAGCTTGGGTGCATCTAATTAGAGTTTATTATGTGAATCAGGGAAAAAAGTGGAAAAGAGGGTTGTGGCGGAAAGCAAGATGGAGGTCTGCCTCAGACCTGGTATCTGTCACTTACAGAGTGTGACATGGGGCAG